TGGTAGTGCTCCGCGCGCATATAACCATGARACCATATCATCACATCATAGGAAATCGAGGTCTGGAAGGTCACTCACACGAGTACATCAGCTCTACGCTCGTGGATCAAATCCCTGGCTCGTTGTCTGCACTCACTCGCTGTCAAGTCCTCATCTACGTACGCTCGGAGAAGTACTGTCACAGTGTATCCAGCGCTTACCAGTTGCTCTCCTACACACATCATCGTGGCCGTCCTTCCCGGCATTCCCTAAGCTGCGGCCTCGAAGAAAAATCTCACATCCTCTAGCCCCGCGAAATCGATCTCTGCCCGTCTCTTGCAGTACCTAATCAGATCGATTGGCCTCAGACAGTCCACCCAGCTAGTAACGTCTATGGTGTCGCCTAGTGTCTCTCTACTGGGCAGGCCCCACCTCACACAAATGGCGTAGTATACTTCTTTGAAGCGGGGCGCTAAGCCCTCCCAGAGCGCGTAAAGTGTGTGGTCCACTGCTCTACTCAAACGATCCACGCTCCCATAGGTCTGCCCTATCACGAAGGTAGGAAGTCCGAATCGCCAATCCTCTCTCGGGTAGAGGGTCGAATGTGGTGGACCGTATACCAAGCCGCTCCAACTCATTCTCCCTCCAGAGAGTCTCGCCAGTTGCTGATTAACGATCACTCTGGCCAACGACTCGCTTCTCCACCAACTCCTGCTCGTCCCTGCGAGTGTCAGTCCTATCTCTAAATCGTGTGCTCTATCCGCTATCAGATGTCCGACCCCTTCTAGATCATGAGTCCTCTCGGGTCGTTCGTCTCGTAGTATTACTGTCCAAAGGAAGAGCCCCTCTGCGAGCCACGTTCCCAAGTATCGTATCGGTACACGCCCTGCCTCTTTAAACGCCACAGGAAGTGGTATGTCGTATCCAACCGCCGTCTCTCTGGGTCCCACAAGCTTCCTCACACTATACGATTTGGACTCTCGTGAGAGAACATAAGCTAACCAGGCCACTGAATCACTCCTCATCTCTTCTCCTACTCTCGGTCAGCATCACTCTACTCCCTCCGATGCACCCCATCTCTCGACGTTGCTAACCCTTCAAACAACTCTCGCACTCAGGTCCAGTATGGTCAAGTAGGATCAGTAGCCAAGCTCACTCAACCGTCGCCCTGATGTACTCCTCTACCTCCTACGCCCGGACTGCTACTCCTATCCTGGGAAAATGGGCGTCTGTAACGTCAATCTCCTCCTCGTCAACCTCTCTCTCTGGGTCGACCCAGTCTGGCTCCCAGGCGTCCTCGTCGTCCTCTCGCTCCCAACCCTCATCGTCAAACTCGTCCTCGACGCGGTATGGCGCCTGTCCTATACCCTGGTAGTATTGCGCCAACTGATGGCCGTATATCAGAGGTCGCTCGGCGTCCACACCCCACCAGCTCTCCCAGTCGTCTAAGAAGAGCCGCCCGATGCAGGTCACGTACTCGGGGCCTGCTCGGAGCTCACGGTCTAGCCAATCCCAAACGCACGGAGACTGGGGCCACTCGTCGTCTATCGAGCGGATCAGCTCTATAAGCTGAACCCTCTCGTCTCCCCAACGAGGCCCACCGGTCGCAAGCGAATAATAGATGTAGTATAGGTCGGCAGACCTTCTCGCCAGGATCTTKAGATCCTGATAGGCCAGGTATGTCTCGACCACTCCACCAATACCTCCAAAGACACTCTCTACTACGAACGTCGGAACTATCGCCCGCATGCTCCTAACGCTGTACGGGAAAAACCCGTCCCGTGCTACCACGAGCTCGCCCCTGATATCAAGAGGAGGGCGTCCATGAAATAGGGTCAACGGGTCGCTCGAGTCCTCCGCTCGGAAGGCAGCTACCTCTTCCCCTAGGTAGTGTAACGCCCTGCTAACTGTGTCACTCGTCCCTGTCGTC